TCAGTGGGACCAGCATTTTTCAAACTGTAAGTCAGACTCATGAGGGGGCTGTAAAATTGTAGCAGTGAGTCACAACCAGCATCATTCGAAATCAAATAGAAGAATGCAGTATACCTAAGTATTATATTGTGAAACTTTTGTACATATATATACACACATATACCCACAAATATATAGGTGTGTAATATATTGTGATGTAAAATGGTTTTTTTAAGTATGCTTTTTGGTCAGGAAGATTGGCCCTGAGCATCTGTTGCATCTGTTGCCAATCTTCCTTTTTTTTTCCCTCCCCAAAGCCCCAGTACATAATTGTATATCCTAGTTATAGGTCATTCTAGTTCTTCTATGTGGGATGCCACCACAGCATGGCTTGAGCAGTGTGTAGGTCCGCAGCCAGGAACTGAACTGTGAACCCGGGCTGCCAAAGCAGAGCATGCAAACTTAACCACTCAGCCACAGGGTCAGCCCCTAAAATGTATTTCTTACTGGAACAATATCGAGAAATTTTGAAAGCTACTGAACTAGACTATGAGCTTTCTGAGGACAGAGATGGTATCATTTTTCAGGGCCATATCCCTAGTACCTAGAGCATGGCCTAATTATGTGTAGGGACTCAATAAATTTTTGTTGACTGTGTGCGCTTTGGATGGTTAATTTTATGTGTCAACTTGACAGGGGTAAAGGATGCCCAGTTTCTGGGTATATCTATGAGGGTGTTTCCAGAAGAGATTAGCATTTGAATTGGTAGACTGAGTAAAGAAGATCACCCCACCAATGTGGGTGGGCATCCTCCAATCCATTAAGGGTATGAATAGAACAAAAAGTCGGAGGAAGAGTGAATTTGATCTCTGCTTGAGCTGGGACATCCATTTTCTCCTGTCCTCGGACATTGGTGCATTTGGTTCTCAGGCCTTCATACTCTGACCTAGACTTACACTATTGGCTCCTCTGGTTTGCAGGCCTTTGGGTTTGGACTAAAACTCCACCACTGGCTTTCCTGGGCCTCCAGCTTACAGTTGCAGACTGTGGGACTCCTCAGCCTCCATAATCACATGAGCCAGTCTCTTATAATAAATCTCTTTCCATATATCTGTGTATATCCTATTGATTCTGTTTCTCTGGAGAAGCCTGACTAATACAGTGCTGTTTAAGAAAAAGAGGCAGTTACTTCACAGAGGAGAATAAATCTGAGTAGACCTTGAGAAAAGGTTTGGATTTAGTAAAATGGAGAGGAAGAGGAAGAAAATGCAGGGACTATGATGTGAGCAGAGATTCAAAGGTCAGGATGCTCATGCTATGTTAGGGAGATTGAGTAGACCAATTAGATTGGCTTAATGTCTATCAATGTGGAAAGAAATAAGGGAGGAAGAAGAAGTTGGCCAGAAATTGATGTCAAAATGGCTAACACACTTCTCCAAGCATGATTTTCTGCAATGATAAGGTGCTAAGGAAATAATGATAATGACAAAATCATACACAGCACTTACACAAGGCATCTTTCAAAGGTCTCAAAGCATGTTGATATGCTGCATTATTCATCTTCCTGATAATTCTATAAGGCAGGTTCAGGGAAGCTATCATCATCTCCATTATATAGGTAAGGAAACCAAGACAGAGGCACTGAGAGTATTTTAGTTCCACATCCCTATAGTGAGCCAGGTGGAATTCTTGGTCTGAAATGCAGTCACTCCGTTTCAGCTATCTTTTCTAGGACCAATCCTCATTGTTAATGTGTGTCCCAGTTCTCATTCTGCATGTGTCTATAGATGTTTCTCTCTTCCAGACTACTAAATGGATTTAAAACTACTTCTCTACCTTGTTCTTTAGTAAGATGGACTGGTATATCTTCTTTTTTAGTGTTACACAGATATTTCTTGCTGATGCCTAAAGTGAAATCTTTGTGTCTAAAGGTAACAGAGCCAAATGATACATGGGTCTTATAGTGAATTTCTAGTCTAATATAGGTTCATTCTATTAGTCTACTGGAGACTTCTGCCTGTGAATTCCATCAATTTCTCTCTCTTTATGCTGTTCCTCTGCTCCACCCCTGTCCCCAATAAGACATGATCCAAATCTAGTGAAGGCAACTGCATGGTCCCCAAACCTCTTTAACTTCCAGTTATTGCCTTTTGTTCTTCATGGCCCACTGTAGCAAACTGGATCTCCTGTCCAAGAGCTCCTTAGAGACCACTTTACTTATTCTGAGGACAGATGTGAGGGTCAGTTATGGTTTCTCTTGATTTGCTCAGAACTCAGTTGAACATCAGCCCAGTCTTTGACATCTTTCAGGCCACCTGAGCTTGCCAAGCGTCTCCTGGTCATGTCGTGCCTCTTCTTGCTTTGCATGGCCAATTGATATTCCTCCCATTGATTGGATACAGACCTCTATTGTGTCAGGCTCATTCATGTTAAGTCAACAACATGTGCAATGTCATGATTGGCATGATTTGTACTTTATTTCCTAGCTCTTCCTGAGCTAAATTGGTCATGCTTAATGCCCAAAGAGCAGCATAATATATCAGAAAGAGCAGGGACTCTGGAGTCTTGCAGACCTGGGTTTCTGGTTCTGCTGTGCCTACCGGCTTATAACTACAGACTTGGCCTTTAGGTAACCCCTTTGAGTCTCAGTACACTGCTTTAGTCTTTCTCTACAGTGCCTAGCAGGGTCCTAGACACATAGTACACGCGTAATTAGTGGCTGTTGACTTGATTTGACTAAACCTGCTTATAGGACATTGTAGCAAGTTTAAAGCTTATCCTTCTAAGCTGTAGCTAGGTCAAACCCATCAGTGAGAAAAAGAGACACTGGCCATAGAAATGGTTTCTGCAGTAGCTGAACACTAGTTGATACTTCCTTTCCTCTTCCAGCTCTCCTAGACATAAGGCCTTCCTCCTACCCAATAGAGCATTCTCTGGAGTTGAATGAATTTATAGGCTCGTCTGGTATTAGAGGGTGGGTCACACCTCTTAGGGAAACTCCTGAAGATCATATCAGAGCCCTGTTCCTCCCTTATGATACCTACGTGACTGGCATAGGAAGAAATGGAAAACTGAAAGAAACATATCCTTAAAGCCTAAGGCCAAGTGCAATGGTCCCCACAACCATGCGCTCGCCTGGTATTTCAACGGGAGGAGCAGTGGTAGAAGACCAGCAGTACAAGGCCCTGTGCCAAATGCAAGGATGCCAGCATGGTCCCTCCCTTCCTCGCTAGCTCTCCCATCAGTTCCCTATATATATTCCAAGATCCAGACATGCTGAACTACTTGCGATTTTCTCAAAGTGCCTGCCTGTTTTTTGCCTCCAGGCTTTTGTAGATGCTCTTAGTCTGTCTTCCTAGAATGCCTTCTCATGCCTGACTTCATGCTACTTACCCTTCTGGGCTCAGCTTGGTATCAATTCCTCTCCTGTTAGAAGTCTTTTTCCTCATCACCAACCCAGACTATGCTCTCATAGTACCTTCTCCCTATCTTCGTACGTGACATGTGATGTTGCAATTGTTTCACTTGACTGTCTCCAGGAAGATGATGACAATGATAACATAGATGCTATCTATTGAGTGCTTACTACATTCCAGGTACTATACTTTACGTCATTAATTATCACACCGATCTTGTGAAATAGGACTATTATTCCCATTATATAGATGTGGAAAATGAAGCTTAGAAATGTTACCAAACCAGGGTCATTTTACCTGCCAGATGACATGCCCATCACCTAGACAATGAGTTTGCAGCAGAGAAAGAGTTTTTTCACAAGGGAGAGGAGAAGGGAGAAAAAAAAATCTCAAGTCTGCCTCCCCCAAAATGGGGATTAATGATATTTATAGGATAGAGGGGCAGGATGGTCTGAAGTATGGGAATAGATTGTTGGAGGTAAGGAAGAGTGACGTCGCTGATGATCTATGCAGGCACAGTCAAACTTCACGGGAAGCATGTTCACAAAATGGTGGCATTAGCATGATTTGAGAGTAGAGTTTTTGACCCACTGATGTCAAAGGGTCACCTATCGGTCACCTATCTGCACAGGCCCAGTTGATGAGTTGGTGGTCTTAACTGAACTGAACTGGACAAGGAGTCAACTCTCAGTTCAGAACTCTCAGTTCAGAAAATCATAAGCACCTGTTACCATGGTGACCCAAGTGTCAGAGATGTTATCTACAGGGTGGGATTTGGTAATGCAGTATCTAACTACTTTTGCAAACAGACAACTGAGTATAGTTAAAGCAAGTTTGCCCCCGATTTCAGAAAGGCTTTGTCCACGTTTATATGGTTAATAAGAGGTAGGGTCAGGATTAGAACACAGGTCTGTCTGACTATAAGTCTGATTTTCACCACTACATCATGCAGCCTCACATTGGGCCGAGCACAAGCTAAAGGCAGAGGCCACACCTTTCATCTCTGTATCCTCAGTGTCTAGCACAGTGACTGGAATGAAGTAGCTGTTAGTAGGTGCTCAAAAAATGTGTTTGATAAATCAATGAATGAATGGCAATGAATTGCCATTGCCATTAGCTTTAACTGAGTCCTGATAATCTCAGTATATATTTCCTGGCCCTAGATACTCATTTGAGAGAATCAGCTAAGTCTGAAGTAAAAAGATATGTCAAGGACAGCAGCAAGAGAATATTTTGTAACTTGGCTATGAATATATTAGATATGATGGACTGGGCTGAGTTACTGAGATAGAAAGCTATATAAAGCAGGTCAAGCAGCCAATGATGAAATAGATACACATAAATTGTATTTACTCCCAGGAATTCCCACAAAGGGATTACAGAGTTTAAAATTCTGCTGAGGTAGGGCCTTGGGCAAATAGCTTGGCCTTATTTGCACAATAAACAAGTGGTCCCCAGTACAAACTAAACTTCTCAGCCAGGCAGGTGCTTGGGAAGCAGATCTGGACTCATAACAGGTTTGAAGCAGTTTCTCTGTTGGAGTAGGAGGAAAGAAAAGACCATTTTTGGTGGAAATAATAAACCTGAGGAGAAGAGGCTTAGAAAGGCTTTGTCTACATTTATATAGTTAATAAGAGGCAGGGTCAGGATTAGAACACAGGTCTGTCTGACTGTAAGTCTGATTTTCACCACTACATCATGCAGCCATCCCTGGTTAACCCATCCACGGCCACCAGTTGATTAGGGTAGAGTCTAGACTTGAATCTGCCACTCCTCTGAGTGTCTCTCAAGCAGTGCTTCTTCTCTGTAGAGGGCAGACCTCAAGGACCTGGCAGTAAGCTTCCTTCTTGAGCAGTCAATAAGAGATCGTTTCTTCTTGTTCTTTGGGGAAATTCCTCCCATAAAAAAGAAATATATCTTTGTCAGTTTCATGGAATTTGAATTTCTCATCTTGGCTGGGTCCCAAGCCCCCTTTTTAACATTGACTTTCATCAAAATTAAGTACAAATAGATCCTAACACAACTCATGAAAATGTCATTTTTCCTGCTTGGGTAAAATAAGAGGCGATGTACCAACTGAAACTGCCCAATTCTTCTCAAGCAGAAAATACACAGCAATCTCAGAGCACACTTATTGTCATAGTATTTGTCTTCTCTTTCCAGTCTTCTCTAAAGGTAGGTCGCTTCTCTTAATGCTCTGTGGCTTTAGATAAATTACATGTTTTCTAGTCAGAGCTGGGCCTCGGCGTGTTTGTGACATGGTTTTTGTTAGAGGTGAATCCTTTCTCAGTGCTCTAATCTGTTACCCCCTGAGTTTGCTGTTGTATCTCCCTTAGATTTTCTTTCTTCAGTTATAATGATCTTACATTTGGGTTCCAGGATGACAGGAAATCATAAAACCCCAAGCTTGGGAGTTGCTTAGGCAGTTGATAGGTGGATCTGAGAATGAACTTCTATAGAACGTGTCTAAAATCATTCATTCATTCGTTCAACATTTATTGAATATGTAGTATATGCCAGGCGGAATGCTAGGGGGTTAAGGATATACATAAATAAGAAATTTCTCTACTGTCAAGGGGGTTAAGTCTACCGGAGTGGAATTTTTGCTTCATGGTTTAGTGGAATTCCTACTTTAAAAGTCATTTGGTGGTTACCACGGGCTGGGGGTACAGGGGAGAGTTGGGAATACATTGTTTAAGGGTACAAACTTGCAACTAGTACGTAAGTCCTGGAGATCTAATGCACAGCATAGCGGTTACAGACAACAGTACAGTATTTTAAACTTCAAAGTTGTTAAGAGACTAGATCTTAATTGTTCCCACCACAAAGAAAGAAATGATAATTATGTGACATGATAGAGGTATTAGCTAATGCTAAGGCGTTAATCATATTGCAAAGTATAAACGTATCAAATCAACACATTGTACACCTTAAATGTATACAATGTTATATGTAAATTATATTTCAATTAAAAAAAGTTATTTGGTTTAATTTCAAATCAGAATACATTCAACCACTGAGGTTACCTACTTTGGAGGACCAAATTGCTGCTGTGGGGTTTGGATACACATGCATTGATTTTAGTAAAACAAGTTAACCTAAAATTTTAGGAAAATTATAAAGCAACTACTGAGATGCAAAATGAATACATCAGGTAAGCGTGTCTACTTATTAGAAAGATTGATTCCTGACTGGTAGAGTTAGTGGCATAGAATCTTGATGATTGATTCCTGTATTGAGAGTAGATAGTACATATGAAAGTAGCTTTACATTTGTAAATGGAAAATACAGCTATTGTTATTGTTACATATTGACCTTATTTAGGGTGGCACTTCAAAAATCTATGACAGTGGGAATTTCATGTGATTAGATTTGAGTCTGGAGACCTGACCATACAGCCACTAAGAATAATCTTGTGGAATTTTCTGGACCTTTTTAAGCTTTAGACTTTGCTTATGAAACGGGGTTATATCTAATCACCTACTTCACTGAGTGGTATAGATGATCAAATGAGATAAGGAGAATTGAAAATGTAGTTACCATCTGTTCCCCTTACCCAGTAATCGGCATCACCAGTCCACTTCTCACCTCCCAGTCCACAGAGAGTGTGTGCAGAGGGAGGGAAGGGAAATGAAGGAGACTGCTTTCCTCTGGTGAATCCCTGTAAAGGGAGAGGAAGAGGAGGGCAATCACGTGGTTTCATTTGCCCACCATCCCCTTGAACATGAGTCTCAGTGGGTCACTAGCCTTTGTTACAGCAGCAGCATGTTTTTTCAGAAATGCTAGAGCATATTTCCCCGCTTCTGCCCAGAACATCAAACATTTATGAAGTGTCTACCTCATGAAAGATATAGAGCTTCAAAGATGAAAAAGGCACAGTCTCTGCTCTCAGGGAAAATTGCACAGTGGAGGGGCCCCTTGAAGTGGTCACAGGGAGGAATGGTTCACAAGACAGACAATGGAGGAAGGGAGATCTTTATTAGTGAATCATACCAGCTTCAAGATTAATTCAGAAACTTTAGAAGACACATTTACACAAAGACTGAATAATTATTCTCACCCCTTGACAAGATGCACTAGGCCTCATTTCCCACAGAATGAAACAACACAACACCCAGAATCATAGAGCTCCTTGCCTGCTGTGGACATATCTTGGATCTCACTCTCAAACTTTCTCAGATCTGAAGTTTTGAGAATAATCAAGTTTGCAGTAAGACATAGAAAAGAAAGAAAATTCTAGAGAGAACACTGGAAAATAACAGAAATGGATGGGCAACTTCAGGGGAATTTGTAATGGAAGAGGAATGGCAGATCATGGCACAGTCTCAACAAATAAGCTGTGTTTTCACTTTGCAGCAATTATGTTGCTAATTGAAGATAATCACAATAAAAGATTTTAAAAAGCTAACATCTAAATGCAGCTCAAGTTTTTGATCAATGTGTTAATAAGTTCGTTTAAAGCTTCTTTTATAGTGTCTAATTATAATTTGGCCCAAGACTAAGTCTGGTGACAGTGAATGTTGAATGGATGAAGACTTGTCCTTGACCTTCTCCTACAACTCCTTTTAGCCCTTTACTCCACTGCATCTTTGGGCACCAAACAAAACCTGCGTACCTTGGTGAGAACCCTGTGGTCCAAACCTCTCTTTGTTCAACACACACCATCACCACTTGGGTTCTGGATCCAATTTCAACGTGGCCCTACTCTCCGCTGAAGAAGAGAGCCAGTGAGTTAACAGCAGTACGTCCTGCATTAAAGAAGAAAATGGAGCTGTTCGAGAGATAGAGAAGGATTTAGAGAGCTAGGAAGAGAAACAGGGAAGCCAAAGGAGGAAGGAGATTCAACATGGAGATGGAGAACCAGTAGGCCAAACGACTGAGAAGACTTGGGTTTAGTGATTAGAACTGATGAGCTGAGGAGAATGAGGGGAGAAAAGACAGGACGTAGCATGTTAAGGAAGAAAAGCAGCTCATAAATAAATGGAGAGAGGGTTATAATAAGAAGGATGGTAATTAATGTTTACTGGGGAGCTTAGCTGTGTGCCTAGTATTCCACTAAACACTTGGTGCGTATTATCTCCTTACAGAGACCCTATTAAGGAGGAACTATTATTGTCCCCATTTTACAGATTAGCAAATTGTGAAACAGACTGGACAGTAATTTATGCCATTACTACATTACATTACTGACAATCTGGAACTAATGAAGCTCAAAATCAAACTCAGATCTGTTCTACTCTTGACTGTTAGGTTATTGTGCCTCTCACTCTAGGTTTGATTCAAAGGAAAAAAATAGTTCTATCTGGATCTCATGAGGAGAATGTGGTTGAGGGAACTTTTTATTAAGACAGGGAAGATATAAAGATATATGTGAGAAGGTGGGAAAGAAGCAGTGGAGACGGAAGCTGAAGATACAAAAAAATGAGTCCTAATGGGTGGAAACTTGGAAGTGATGGGATAAAATTTCCCAGGGAACAGAAAGGGTTCTGATTGCAAACACAGCTGGATGAGTTAACTTGAGACATAGGAGAAGGAAGAAAATGGTCACTGGGTTTGATGATTAGGAAATAATTTTGTTTGAAATAGCTTTAACACTTAGATTTCACAGAGGAAGTCAGTTGTTAACAAATATTCAGTTATTTTTCATATGTGTTATGCACGCTGTCAAGCAGAGTCAGCAACAGCACTGCTTGTCATTTCTAATTATTTTCTAGAAACTGATTATAATGATGAGAAACAATTTATCTTTCAGTAGTCTATCATGTAAAATATTTACTTTGCTCTTTTCATCTGAGGAATTATATTCTTCAGGTTGTCTCTGGAAAGGTAGGGAATGTAAACTGGAATTCTTTTGATTTCTAGATCAGAAACCCAACTTGTACTAGCTTAGGTGAAAGAAGATTGCCTTGTCTCACATGGCCAGAACCCAGGAAGGACAGGGATGGAGCCAGCCTTGGGAAAACTGGAGACCGGGGCTTGAATATCAACAGGATCCTCTACCCCTTATCTCTGTTCTCTGCCGCTGACTTCATTCGCTCCTAATCGAGGCTACAAGCAGTCCCTGGATTGGATTTGTATCCCTGCCCTACCAGAAAGAAAAAAAGGCACTTCTCTCAAGCTCCATTTGAAAATCCCAGGGAAATGCTCAGAATGTGCCAACCTGGGTCATGTGCACACATGTAGGGCCAATCACTGTCCAGGAGGGTGAGGTCAGCTCCCATCCAGACCATTTGGCCAAGTGCAAGGTAGGGGAGTTCAGTTCCCCTAGAGGAAGAAAATACTATTTCCAGAAGAAAGAAGGGGCGATGGTCAGAAACAAATAAAAATCTATTACATAAATGTAGTCAGATCTTTTACTGATGAGGAAAGTGAAACACAGAGGTATTAGAAAACAGACGCATAGTCTCCGTGAGTCAGAATTGGCAATAGATATTCTTTACCAATCTCGGTGCTAAATTATTCTAGCATTTGTGTTAAAACCAATAGCAGTATGCGACTAGGAGTTCATATTTCTGGGTATATCCTCAAGAATTAGCTTCCCTCTTCTCCATATAAAGCAGTAGGAAAATACTCGTAACAAATTTACCTTGGGCCAGCAAGCCGTTGCTTGCCTCAGGCCTGTCTTCCCCTGGGTTGTTCATGGCGATCTCAGAGAGGGCCCCACCTGCAGAGTCATAATGAATGAGCTAAAGAATAGGAAACTTCAGCTCCACCTGGTCTGCCAACACAAGCCTTTGAGCTATCATTTCATCTTTCACGGTTCATTTAAAGTGAGGACTTCCTTCCTCCCCAGAACTGAGAATATAGACCTTTCGACACACTAGAATATAGAGAGCATAGGTCCAATTTTTATCTCTCAACTTTAAATATTTTAAAGGAATTGGCATATTTCACACAGCTTCAGGATATTTTTCTCCTCATTAATAAAAGGAATTTGAAAAGTAAGTATTGAATGCTTAGAAGTAAAGCAGAACATAAGGATTATTGTTATAGGCAGAGCTCTTGGAAATACATATACATGGAAGGAAGGAAAGCTGGACTTAAAGAATAATGCTTATGTCTAATTTACTGTGTGCAGATCTTAGCCTGGAATGCTGAAAAGACTCATGGAGAAAAACTCAATAATTCATTGTTTTATTGTTGAGAAAATAAAAGGAACTTTACTACTATCCTCCAGCTTAATATGTACAACACACAAAACACGTTCCTCAACTAGCAGAACTGCTTTTAGGACTAAAAATAGTCCTAATGGATATTTTTCAAGTATTTTGTGTTCTCTTCCACTCACTGATTCAACTAATGTTCATGGGTGACTCCTTTGTGCCCAGCACATTGCTAGCTGCTCACTTGAGTCTCACTTCCCCTCTGGAGGAGTCTCATTGTTCTCGTTTTACAGAGACAGAGAGAAAAGAAGAGCCTTATCGAAGGCATCATAAGCACGGAGCAAGAGCCTGGGGTTCTGGCATTGTAGTCTGGGTTTTTTCTGATACCACAGCCTGTGCTCCTTCCACTGACCCTTGTCTCTATCTTACCAGAGTCAACAAGTGGTGTCAGCATTTAGATATTAAATAACAATGGGGTGGGGGTGAGGGGAAAAATATTCTTTCTTCACTAATTTTAATTTTATGAACAAAAAATTAAGCAGTTTGCATAGGAATAACAGAGAATAGAGCAAGCCATAATTTGAGTAGTCAGGAGGCATGATATAAAACCATCTGTGCTTCCCCATGTCTTTGTGTGTGTGTGTGTGTGTTTGGTTTTTGTAGTGCAAACAAGTCCACTGTGTTGCAGAAAGGTGTGGAAAGTGCAACACAGCAGATTAGAACTACAGGGTGTATAGGTGTGGGCTATCCCCCCATTCACAGAATTTTATTTACTCATCAAAAGACCAGCGTAGCATGTGATCAAAGACAGCTGTGTCTTGGAAGAAGCGATATCCCACAGGTGATATCAGGGGGTCACGTAGCCACGTGGGACCTAAAGATAAGTGCTCCTTCTGCACAGCCTGTCCCAACCGATACACTATTTGCCAACATCATGTGAAATGTCCTTTTGGTAAATACAAAGGTCCTCCTAGGAAACATAGGATGGATACATGCTGGTATTTTTACCTGAAATTAAAATAGAGTTATCAAGTGAATAATTAAGGAACAAAAATCAATTATCCCTAAACACATCATCTTAATAATAAAGCTAATTTCACTTTTGGGTATTCCCTTCCTGGGGACATCACTGTCTTTAGAATACATCCTTTTGGCTCCCGTGGTCTCTTGATAAATGACAATTTACAGGAGTTGGAACACCTGTCCTTACATTTTATTTCACAAGACCGTGGCCCTTCGCAGCATGATTGCACGGTGTTTGTCTGTCTTTTATGAACTCTCTGGTGGTTACTGGATGTTCAAACAAACATACCAAGAACAAAGTAAGTGTGCTAAGCAAGAACCATTTCTCTCTAGTCCCAACTCCCTTCAGTCATTGCTGGTACAAAAGGAAGAACCCAGGGGCTGCTTCCTGATTATGCATTTTCAGTTTCTTTTTTTTTTTTTTTTAAGATTGGCACCTGAGCTAACATCTGTTGCCAATCTTCTTTTTTTTTCTTCTCCCCAAAGCCCCCCAGTATATAGCTGTATATTCTAGTTGTGAGTGCCTCTGGTTGTGACATTTTCAGTTTCTTAAGCAATTGCAACAGGAAGGCATGGAACTAGGCCTTATTTCCTGTGATGCGTTATTATTTTCAGCTCTTTGCTCCTATCATTATTCAGCTTCCAGCTTTTACATTTTTAAATAACTCCCTCTTTTCTTTAAAAAAAAACAAGTCACATCAAAAACTGCACATTCATTGCTGCCAGTAAAAGCCACAAAAAAGGAAAAATAGGACCTCTTTCATTGTTCTTGAGGCTTCCATCAACTATAGGTCAAGCTTTCAAAGATTGTTTTCTTGGAACAAGCAGGAGGACAGAGAAACAGCTTCCTGAGGGTCACCATGATGAACACAAGGCTGCAGGACCTGCCATGTTCCTATTCCCTCCCTCTTCTCCTTTCCTCCAGCTCCCCATCTCCTCCTTTTCTCTCTCCCTGTCCCTTGTTCATGTTCTCCCTCCTCCCTTTACTCTCTCTTTCCTTTTATCTGGACGCGTTTTTCATTGTGAGACTATTAAGATCAAAGAAATAATATCTGATTGTTCTGATGACCTCGGAGGAAGGTTCTTTGGACTTCCTAGTTCCCTGATGAGATTTCTTCTCTAGAAGTTCATCTATTCGGCAAATTAGCTCTTCTCCAGCACAGTAACCATCTGCTGGACTTGTAGACTTGAGAGCTGCATTAGGTGCTTCTTTCAAGATTAAGGCCGAGAAGCTGTGTGGACTCCTTGCCAGAAGGAGACAGGAACAACTCCACCCAGGGATGCTGTCCCTGGACAAGGAGGGGAGCAGTACTAGTCAGGGGAGGTTAACGGGGCATTCAAGGCTGCCTGTAATCTATCCCAAGCTACTTTTTCAGCCTCGTCTCCTACAACCACCTGACATGTCTGTAGCCTTCTCTCAAGGTAAATTGAACCTCTTTCTTTTCCCTTACTATATGAGGCACGCCTCCGTACTTTGGCTTGTATGCCCTTCCCACTGCCTGGAAAGTGCCATCCCATACCTGAAACACGGCAGGCATGCACATAACGGGTCACATGCTCCCTCTGCCAGGGAAAACACATCTGTCCTTTAAGGCTTAGACCTAGGCTCATCTCTTCCTTTGCCTGCCTTGAGTGTTGCAGCTTGCTTCATCCTTCCCTTTCTCCTCTGAATGCCTATAGCTCTTAGTCTGTGTCAGGCAAGAGTTCATCTCTGTAATGGAAACATACTGGCACTGAAACTGGGTATGATGCTCTTGATACAATTTAGCAGGCTTTGAAAAAAGTGGTGTGTGTGCGTGTCTTAGCAAAGAAGCTGAAGGCAAACAGTCAGCCTGACTGAGACAGAGGGGAGAAGAGGTGATGAATACGGAGAGAGTAAACAGAGAGCAGTGATGAAAATGTGCTATCACCTTCTGGTCCTGATCACATGTCTTACAGAACCTATTTTCACTGGTCCTCTCTCATAGCTGTGCTAATTCTCTCTCGCTCTCCACTTTGGCCTTCATCCTGTAACTGTCAGTCTTATAGATGCTAGGAACTCACAAGACTTCTCAAACTCCAGTTCAATATTATAAAAACATTTTTTCAACTTGGAGAGACCACTACACACACACACACACACACACACACACACACACACACACACACTCTACACCCAAAACTCCAAAATGTCCACTAAATTGCTTTTAACCTTCTAAGGGCTGCTGCTTTCGGCTCCTTCTGTATCTTCTTGACCAAAACTGAAAATTGAGTAGTTTATATTCTTCTCCCTTCCCTTCTCCAGTCTTTTCCTGAAAGTTCTAACTTGGTATTACAACAGTTGCGGACTGTCTCCTTCTCATCTTGCCATCTGCAAGTACACCGAGGCCGTTGTCACTTCAAAGAAAACCCCCAAGTACCTTTGCTTTCTAATCATGTACATACATACCGTTAAATGTGATAATACTATACTCCGTAAATAAAATGTGAACATTCAAGAGCAATTTTGAATACCCAATTTTGCTTCTATAATAAAGACATATTTGTGAAATAGAAAAATTGGAGACTTTGCAATACCTTTTCCAGATAAAATCCTAAAGATATTCATTTGTATTCTTATTTATATATATTCATAGCCGTACACATCAAACTTATGATAATTAATAACTATGTGGTCTTGAGATGAAAGAATTATGACATCAACATCAAAAGTATTAGAAATGAAACTTTCCTCTCTTCTTTCCTTCCTTCCTTCCTATCTTTTCTTCAACAAATGTTTAGTATCTGTCACATATCTATTTGATGTTGTAGGGAACAGAAAAATTAAATACTGGTCTCTATCCTGAAGTTGCTTTCAATCTAGTTAGGAAGATAAAGCATAATGGAAAAGACATTCAAGATAAATGCATAAAATGTCATGAAGCAATATGTGATTGTATAGCAACTAAGTGGTGTTGGTGATTAGTGCTATGATCTTGAGGTAGACATCTCTGCGGGTTGGGTGGTCCTGGAAGGCTTCCCAGAGGAGGAGGAGCTTCAGCTGGGCAGAAAAAAGCAGCACAGGACCCTTCTCATGGAAGGAACTAAGCTAAGCAGTGGATTAAAAGACTGTATGTGGGATTAAAATGTTTTATCAATAGTGTGATCTCAATTATGTTTAAAAAACAGATGCTTAGAGAAAGGAAAGAAAAGAAGTAAAGAAAAATATTATTAACTGTAGTTGACTTTGAGCAATGGGATTATTGTTTTCTTGGTATTTGTATTTTCCAAATTAACTTTCACGAACCTTTAAAAAAATAAAAATAACATTTAACAAAACCTTAGAAAATCATGCATTGATTTCCTTTTGACCTTTCGCTCATAAATCTTTGGTAAGAATACAGGATTCTTTCTCCTAGCTCATGCTTATCATAGACCATCAGATTATTTTTCTCACAGAAATGTGGGGGCAACTTCCACGAATAATAGTTTGTTCAGTATGTTAAGCAACCTTCGTGTGTTGTTCCTTTCATCAAATTAGCCATTGTTCCAGTTATCTTCAGTTATTATTCCATAACTTAGTGGTATAAAACAATCCTTTATTATGCTCGTGGATTCTGTGGATCAAGTACAAGGACAGGGCACAAGGGGATGATTTGTCTTTGCTCCACAATGTCTGGGCCCTCAGTTGGAATACTGGGGTGACTTGACAGCTGAAGGCTGGA